TCCTCTTTGTCTCTTTCTCATCTTCCTTCCTTCCTCCCTCCCTCCATTTTTCCTTCCTTCCTTTCCTTTCTTCCTCCCTTCTCCTCTTTGTCTCTTTCTCATCTTCCTTCCTTCCTCTTTCTCCTTGGGTGTGGGCCTCTGTGCTGGGAAGAATTCCTTCTCCGGAGTGGGCCAAGAGCCAGCTTGCCCCTTCTAACAGCTTCGGCCCCTTGACAACACACACACTCACACAGATCTCCCCCAGGGACTCCTCCCCCCCCACCCCCTCCCAGTGCCGTTTCCTCCTGTCTTACACCGTGTGCCTCTTTGTCCTCAGCTGATGGTGCCCCAGGGATGCCCCCTCTGCCCCCTGGCCAGAGGGGAGGCATGCAGCTGGGGGAAGGGAGGGAGGGAGGAGGGGTCCTTGGGCTCCAGGCGAGCTAATGATGCCCCAGGAGCCCAGTGGGAGGAGAGGGGAGCCCAGGTACCGTTGAAATGTCGGCCAAATGCCACTGCGATCGATTTGACATTTGCTTCGCTGTGTTGCCGAGTGGGCACGCCTGGCTGCCTCTCCGAAAGCCTCCGGCGTCTGCCTTTGTAGCTCCTCATTGAGATGCGGGGAAGACATCACTTTGCAACGGAGCTCTCAGCATCCCTGCAGGCCTCCCCACCCTCCCCAATTCTTCCTCAATCTCCCCCTCCCCTCGCCCACAAAGGGCCTCTGGCTCGGCTGCTGAGCGATGCATCCTCCCCCAGAACCTACGAACCCTTCCTCCGCTTAAAAAGGGGGAATCTGCCCAGAAATGCTCAAGTGAGAGAGATTTCAAGGAAATCCAGAAAATAAGGTAGAATTAGAATTTATAGAATAGAAAATAGAAGAGAAGAGGAATAGGACAGAATGGAATGGAATAGAATAGAATAATGAGAGGGGAGGGGAGGAGAAGGGAGGATAAGGGAAGGGAAAGGAAGGGAAAGAAAGAGACTGGAATGGATGGAATAGAATAGAAAATAGAAGAGAAGAGAAAATAGAATAGAATAGAAAGGAGAAGAGAAAACAGAATAGATTAGAATAGAATGGAAGAGAAGAGAAGAGAAGAGAAAATAGAAGAGAAGAGAAGAGAAAATAGAAGAGAAAAGAAAATAGAATAGAATAGAATAGAATGGAAGGGAAGAGAAGAGAAAATAGAAGAGAAGAGAAAAGAAA